GTTCAACTTCATCCTGTACTTTCTCAGGATTCCAAACATCTCAACAAGGTGTTGCCAATGGTCCTTGGCATCTGTCCTCTTAACTAACATTTCGTCTACATATACCTCCATTGTTTTGCCAATTTGTCGAGCGAATGTAGAGTTTACAAAGAGTTGGTACGTGTCCCGACGTTCTTGAGTCCAAAGGGCATTCTTTGTAAAAATAGAGACCTCAATCGGTGATGAACGAGGTATGTTCTTAGTCCGATTCATACATGGGTATTTGATTGTATCCCAAGTATGCATCCATAAAGCTTAGTAGCTTGTGCTCGACCGTTGCATCGACCATTTGGTCTATCCAGGGTAGGAAGAAGCTATCTTTTAGACATGCCTTGTTGAGATCGGTAAAGTCTATGCACACTCCCCATTCTCCATTGTTTTTCCTTTCGAGGATAGGATTAGCAACCCATTTGCGGTATTTAGCTTCTCTGATGAACCCGTTGCGTGGCAACTTCTGTACCTCCTAGTTTAAGGCCTCATACTTCTCTGGATTTAAATGACGACGCCTCTGTTGCTTCATCGGACTGATGGATAACTGTTCAATTGGTGACAACAATCAGGATCAATTCCTTCCATGTCTTCATACTTCAGGCAGAGACGTCAAGGTTCTGCTGCAAGAACTCTATTATTTGTCCCTGGACTGGTTGTCGTAGCTGATCTACCACCTTGAGCCATTTTCCTATGTTGCCATCGTAACTGGTACATTGTCTAGTTCCTCTATGGGTTCTCCACCTTTGATTTTTGAAAGTGGATCAAGTGGAATAAGGTCAAGTTCCGAGGTGTGTACCACATATATGCCCGGAGAAGTGCATGCATTTTGGTTAAAGGGATGAATTTTCATTTGGCATTCTTCGGCGAGGTCCTTATTTCACTAACTTTTCCCATGTCATGGGGTGTACGAGACTTCAATGAGTAATGATATAGGAATACGGTGGCTCTAAGGCCTAAAAACAGGGATTATCCTATAATAGTGTTGTAAGGTGAAGTCGAATCGAACAACATGAACACAGTGTTTAACCTAGCCTTTCATGGTATGTTTCTAGCTTCAACGTGAGCTTGATCGATCCCTCAGCCCTAGCCAAAGCTCCATTTATCCCAAGGATCATGTTTGGGTACGACAGTAGGAAGTGGCCGGGGATACCTATCCAATTGAGTGTGCTAGTATAGAATATATTGAGGACACTCCCGATGTCTACCGAGACCTTGGGTATGGTAACTCCAGCTACAGATACCAAGATCGCTAGGACCCCGGGATAGGGATTCAAGTCTGCTTTCTTTTCATCAAAAGATACTTGGTCGTCTAGGGGTTTTTGTCAGTGTTTCTCAGATATACCGATCTCTGATAGATCGACCATGATGTGTCTCTTTAGTCTTACTTCTCTGTGGTGGGCACATTCCTCGTCATGTGGATCTGAGGTTTGGATAGATTGATGTTGCATGCGTTGGCCTCTAATTGGTCTGTGCGCATGACTTCTACCCCATAGGGGGTGGGAAACTTGATACAGTAATGGTAGATTGACGTAGCTGCTTTGAGCTCGTGCAGTATGGGTTTCCCAAGTATGGCATTATAATTAGAGGACAAATCAACTCCTACAAAGTCAGCCAGGATTCTTTGCTAATGAGGGGCCTCGCCTAGCTTAACCCGAACTTTGATATGGTCCCAAGAAAACCTTTACAGTTTTTTGCGGTATAGCCAGAGATATCGCTATGAGATCTTCATTTGTCTTAAGGTTTGTGTATACACCATATTGATCGAGCTCCCAGTGTCTACAAGCATTTGGTGCACTCGTACTCTTACAACAAGCATGTCTATTACCAAGACATCACTTTGGTCTTGCAAGACCCCTCAAGAGTCTTCTTTCGAGAACCAAATATGCTTACGGTCTGGTCCTGCAGTGGTGTCGAGTTTAGGATATTCCACCTTATAGTTTCGTCATATACGAGCATTGATGGCTTGTCTGCGCCTTTTTCTCTTAGACCCTTTGATGTATTGGTTCCCCCCGACCATTATTTTGATCTTAGCTTGAGGAAGAGGGTTACGATCTGGGACAGTGGGTTGAGTTTACTAGCCCGATACGTGTGGACGAGACTGTTGGGATGAGGTTGGTTTAGCTTTCTTGGTTTGGCCACGAGTTCTTACATGTGGCCTCGTTGGATTAAAGATACGACTTCCTCAGTCAACTCTCGAAAATCGTCCGTATTGTGCCCTATCAACCTATGATATCGATAGTATTTGCCCTAATTTTTCCCCAATGGTTCCGCCTATGGAACTGATGAGTGATTTACACTCATTATATTATGCCATTAATTTCATGATTTTGCTATCTTAGAGAGTATTTTAGAGGTGCTAACATGTGGTTTTCAAACTATTTTGAAGGATGGATGAAGTGGAGAAAACAAGTGCTAAAAGAGGCCAAATGAAAGAAATAGGCAAAAATTGGCGGAATTGGATGAAAGGACCAAAATGTAAGAGATCCAAAGTTCGAGGACTAAAGTGAACATAATCAAAATTTGTATCAGAACATGCAATGAAGATCCAAGAGTGGTAGGAGTCAATTGGATGAAGGAAGGTGTCAAAAGGGATCAAATTTAATCAAGATATGATCATAAATCATTTTCCAACCGAAAAGTTTTGCACCGGATTTTTAGTCCCACATTCAGACCCATTTTCGACATAGCAAACGATCTAATTAGAGAATGATGTCTGAAGCAAAGTTGTAGCCCTTTGAATTACCTTTCCAACGCATCTTGAATCACTTCAATTGGATATCGAAAGAGAAAGTTATGTTGAAAATACCGAAACACGTGAAGAATGCTGTTTCAGGCGAACCGGGCGCCCAGGCGCCACAATGCTGTAATTCCAATAAAAACTCAGCGCCCAGGCGCTGCATTCTGAGAAAGGGAAATTCAGATTTCTAAAATATATTTCTCGGTCCAAATCGACTCCAACCCATCCAAAACTCCTAAAAACTATAAATACCACCGAAAAACCTAAAAAAAGGGGAAAGCCGCACATTACAAATCTGTGGAAACCAGCCACGTATAGGGGGAACGAGCAAGAGAATTCTGGGGAGAACAGTCGGTAATTACAAAACAATTGAAGGGGATTTTCATTGGCTCAAACTTCTGGGATTGAGAAGGAAGAAAAGAGAAAAAGGGGCACGGCTGGAAAGACAAATACAATTGAAGGAATTAATTTTGGGGAAAAAATCAAGCTGCTACAAACGAGTTTTTCCATTCTTTTTTCTTTTCCATGTGCTTTCATTTTAATTTACTTGTGTTAATTCTTTCAATTATGCACTAAACTTTAATCCTAGGGTTGATGTAGCCTGCTTTAGACATGGTTGAATTCCGTTTTAATTATTTCAATTAATCTTTCCGTTTATGTCTTTATGTTGTTTGTGCGCAATACTTTCAATTAACCGGCCACTAATTGATTGATTTGATGTCCTAAATTTTGGCGCTCGAGAGAGGCAAATTTAGGTGTGATCTAAGACAACATAACCTAGATTTCGTAGGTTTCGAGAGAATGTGCAAATCTTTGAGGTTTGTTTTAATTAAGAACCACGTGCTTGATAATTTTTATATCTTTAATTCGGAATAGAGATATTGAAATTAAAATATAGAAATAAATTTTATTTGGCACTCGAGAGAGGGAAATAGAATCACTTACGCATTCTTGCATATAAATTTTGGAAAGATCGATATAAATAGTTATACGGTTGAAAAACATTGTCGAAGGTACGGTGAAATCATTCCATAGGCATTCATAATTTGATAAGAAATTCTATAATTTATCCTCATTTACTTGCGTCGTTCATCTCATTTATTTTAATTTAGCATAAAACATCGTTTCAACATTTGATTGTCTAAATAAAGTGAGGGCTAAAATAATTATAGTACTCAATTTATTCGAATATCAATCCTTGTGGGTTCGACATCCTAACTTCTTTATTATATTACAAAACTTGACACCGTACACTTGCGGTTTAAAAATCGCGTGGCAAGTTTTTGGCGCCATTGCTGGGGATTGATTTATTTGAATTCAATTGATATTATTACCAATTAGCTTTCATTTTACTTTAGATTTTTATTTCTATCGTAATTTTTATTTTTTGAGCTCCCTTGTGGTTATTTTCAGCTGTCTAGACCTACTACCTGTTGATCTTGAACCAGAACGCACATTTCACATTCTCAGAGGCATACAAAGAAATGAACGAGAAGCAATGGCAGAACAGGATGCTAGAGCAACCAATGAGGATAACCAACAAAGGGCTATTCAGGACTACATAAGGCTGGTTGTCACTGACAACTATTTTGGCATCGCATGCCCAGCAATTGCTGCAAACAATTTCGAACTGAAGCCAGAACTTATACACATGGTGTAGCAGAATCAGTTTGGGGGAGCTCCAACAAAAGACCCAAATACTCATTTGGGGTCCTTTCTGGAGATCAGTGATACAGTGAAAATGAATGGCGTTACTGAAGATGCAATCCGACTCCGCCTATTTTCCTTTTCCCTAAGAGAGGCATGGTTCCAATCATTGCTGTATGGATCCATCATGACTTGGGAGGGGTTAGCGCAGAAGTTTCTTACAAAATTCTTTCCGCCTTCAAAGGCAGCACAATTACGGAGTGAAATTGGATAGTTTCGACAAATAGACTTTGAACCATTCTATGAGGTATGGGAGAGATATAATGATCTATTCAGAAGATGTCCTCAGCATGGTTACTCGGATTGGTTGCAGATACAAACCTTCTACAATGGTTTGAATGGTCAGACACGGATAGTGGTAGATTCTACAGCAGGGGGTGCACTATTATCCAAAACTCCAAATGAGGCTTATGCATTATTGGATGAGATAGCTACTAATAGCTATTAATGGCCGAGTGAGCGTTCAAGTGCAAAGAAAGTTGTTGGCCTTTATGAAGTAGATCCTATTACCGCCCTTGCAGCTCAAATGTCATCTCTTACTAATCAAATACCTGTATTGACTTCACATGGATCACAAAAGAAATCAGAATCAATTATGGCTACATCCACTGCATACCAAAAAGTTGAAAGGGAGAATGGACAACTTCAGTATGTGAATGATTGGAATTTCAATCAAAAGGGAAACTACTCAGGAAACAACTACTATCAGGGGTTCAATAATCAAGCGTTTGAGCGAAAGCCATCACTGGAAGATATTTTAGGAACCCTCATTTCGAAGACCAGATCGAGGTTCAACAAAGATGAGGCAAGACTTGACAGCATTGATTCACATATGACCAACTTGGGGGTTACAGTGAAGAATTTGGAGGTACAGATTGGTCAGATAGCAACTGCAATACAGTCTCAACAAAAAAGGACAATTTCCCAGTGACACAGAGCTTAACCCACGAGAACACTGCAATGCTATTACCCTAAGAAGTGGTAAAGCAGTTGAAGAACGCAAGCTTAGAGAGGTTGGGGTACCTACATCGGATCCCATTCTTGTAAGGGAAAAGCATATTGAAGGGGAGAAAACTGAAGCAAAGGCAATAAAGAAGATTTATAAGTTTTACTCAATTTCATTTCCGGACAACCCACCTATCTTGAAGCCCCCACTACCATTCCTACAGAGGTATTTGAAGAAGGAGTTTGATGAAAAATTCGCAAAGCTTCTGGAAGTCTTCAAAAAAATCCACATCAACATTCCCTTTGCAGAAACTTTGGCCCAAATGCCTAACTATACCAAGTTCTTAAAGGAAGTGATGTCAAAGAAGAGAAAGTTGGAGGAATTTGAGACTGTTAAGCTGACAGAGGAGTGTAGTGCCATACTTCAGAAGAAGCTCCCTCACAAATTGAAAGATCCGGGCAGCTTCAACATCCCATGCAATATTGGTGGTATCACATTTGATAGGGCACTATGTGACCTTGGAGCTAGCATAAACTTGATGCTCTTATCAGTGTTCAAAAAGATGGGTCTTGGAAAAGTGAATCCCACAACCCTTACTTTGCAACTGGCGGACAGATCGATCACATATCCCAAAGGCATTATTGAAGATGTGTTGGTGAAGGTTGATAAGTTCATCTTTCCGGTGGACTTTGTGGTATTGGACATGGAGGAGGATGAGAAAGTACCAATGATTCTTGGCCGACCTTTCTTGGCTACTGGAAGAGCATTGATTGATGTGCAAGAAGGAAAGTTGACACTACAAGTTAATGAAGAGCAAGTAACTTTCAACATCGATCAAGAAAAGAAAGCCCCAGAAAAAGGAAAAGTTGACACTTCAAAATGATCCAATCAGCTGAAGTAATTGCAGAAAATGGAGAAAAAAGGGAATTATTTTATGATTCGTTGGTGCAATACATGGAAATTAGTTACTCAACAAGGGATGCATCTACTGATGGTAATGACTCAGAAATGAAGAAAGCAGTGGATTTCATCTTAGCTAAGAAGCTGACCCACCCGACCAAAAAAAAAGAGCTATGTAGATAGGCGTTTGAAACCTCCAAACATTACCAAACCAAAAGAGGTCTTGAAAGCCATACCAAGGTCAAAACAACCTAAGTTTGTTCACCATCTTACAATGAAGGAGAATATAAAGCCGAAGATAAAGTTCAAAAACAAGAGAAATGTGCCACTTGAGGATCCATCGTAGGCATTGCGGTTGAGTCAAGCTAGTGACTATAAAGAAGCGCTTCTTGGGAGACAACCCAAGCGTTCTTACCTTTTCACTTACTTTATTTATTTATTCTGTTTTTGAATTTTAGGGTAATTTATTTTATTTCAGAGTTGTTGTTATTTAGGAATTCATCAACCCTACCCGTCCCTTAGGTTTTTGAAAAATCAAGTTGGTTATTGATGTTTGAGCTAAGCACCACTTGTTCCATGAGTTTAATATCTAATTGTGATTTTTCAGAAACATGATGTCGCAGAGCAATCAACCAACATTGACAAGGAGAAGCTGGATAAATCTCAAGTTTGGGGGAAAAGCTAGAAGAAACGTCCATCAAATTCAACATTAGAGCACCAGACCATCGTTGGCAATTCAGACAATTCAGGGAAGTCCTCCTCTTTTTCTTCTCATTTAACATTGAGGACAATGTTTAGTTTAAATTTGGGGGGAGTGAATTATAAATTGTCTAATTGCCTTTTTTTTGTGTGATTTGTGTGCAATTTTTTTTTGTGTGTTTAAAAAAAAACAATTTATTTGTTTATATTTTTCTATTATTTATATATTTAATTTTTATTTGTGTGCATTATCAAAAAATAATAATAATAATAATAATTCGTGTTTTTGCATGTTTGTGTGAGTTAGAAAGCTTTGCCGGCGATGATATATATTATTGAGAACATGCGTTGGTTTATGGATTATGAATAGGTTATGTGCTTGAGTTAGATTTTTGCTTATTCATGTAAAATGGAAATTATTTTTGCACGTGAGTTAATTGTGGCATTGTGCATGAGTAGGTTGATTCATACTTATAGGTTGGATAAAGAACTTAGATGCTAAACCCAAACAACCATTAAACATCACAATACCCTTAAACCAAACTTAGGACGTTTGGATGATTGCACTGTTGTAGAAAAACTTGGAGATAAATGTAGATTCCATGTGTGCTAAATTTTGTGTGGATTGTTTGAGACTATTAGGATGAAAATTGGGTGAAAACCTTAAGTTAGAGGTCGATTTTCGAGAATAGGTGTTTAATAAGGGGCATTGCATTAATCACTGCATTGGAAAAATAAAAATAAAAAAAGATCCCAATGAAGACAACTTTAATAATCTCATTGTGAATCGTCTCTTCGTAGCCTTTGTGACTCGAGTGATTAAGCCTGTAAGGGTTCAAAACCTGGTGTCCTAAAGTCGTCTGATTTGAGAGTCATCGGCCTAAAGCTCGCTATATGGGTAATTTAGAAAGCTTAAGGGAGAGACGTCCACACAAAGGACGATTAAAGAATAAATTTATATTTGAGAAAAAAAAAAGAGAAAAAGGAAAAAAATAGGTAACAAATGCCTTGATTAAGCCCCGAACACTTGTTTTAGAGGATTAGATCTTTGGTAAGGGGTTAGTAACTTGGTTGGTTCCTAGAGGTTGAAGCAGTCAAAAAATAAGGAGAGTCCTCATTTTGTTGACATGTTGAACTGCAATCAGTAAAATCTAACCAAAGTTGAGCGGTGTAAGATATTAGTATTGAAAATTAACTTTGGAATACACCTTGAGAAGTGAAAAGAGAACAAGTTTGGGGGTGTGTGAATCCCACAGCGATGTAAGGAACTATTTGACTTTTAAGGTCGGAAATTGGGTCAACTTATTATTGTACAACGTTGCACTTAACTCTTCACACACACACTCGTTTTGCATTGAATATGTGAGAATTTGGCTCGTGCATTATAACTTTGAAGTAATTCATCCAATTGACGCTATATTTTTAATCATAAGGCAAGGTGTCTAACATAATGTGTTTTTTTTTTCTAAAGTGATTTTGTGTTCTTTAATTATGTTTGTGTGCTTGTTAATGACTTTCTTTGTTTTGGTGTTTGCTCAAGGACAAGCAAAAGGTTAAGTTTGGGGGTGTTTGATGAGTGATTTACACTCATTATATTATGCTATTAATTTCATGATTTTGCTATCTTGGAAAGTATTTTAGAGGTGCTAACATGTGGTTTTCACGCTATTTTGAAGGATGGATGAAGTGGAGAAAACAAGTGCTAAAAGAGGCCAAATGAAATAAATAGGCAAAAGTTGGCGAAATTGGATGAAAGGACCAAAATGTAAGAAATCCAAAGTTCGAGGACTAAAGTGCACATAATCAAAATTTGTATCAGAACTTGGTATGAAGATCCGAGAGTGGTAGGAGTCAATTGGATGAAGGAAGATGTCAAAAGCGATCAAATTTAATCAAGATATGATCATAAATCATTTTCCAACCGAAAAGTTTTGCAACGGATTTTTAGTCCCATATTCAGACCCATTTTCGACATATCAAACGATCTAATTGGAGAATGATTCTGAAGCAAAGTTGTAGCCCTTTGAATTAGCTTTCCAATGCATCTTGAATCACTTCAATTGGATATCGAACGAGAAAGTTACGCTGAAAATACTGAAACACGCGAAGAATGCCATTTCGGGTGAACCGGGCGTCCAGGCGCTATACCCTCAGCGCCCAGGCACCACAATGCTGTATTTCCAATAGAAACTCAACCCCCAGGTGCCCAAGTCGCATTGCCCAGGTGCTGCATTTTGAGAAAGGGAAATTCAGATTTCTAAAATATATTTCTCGGTCCAAATCGACTCCAACCCGCCCAAAACTCCTAGAAACTATAAATACCATCCAAAAACCTAAAAGAAGGGGAGAGTCGCACATTACAAATCTGTGGAAACCAGCCACGTATAGGGGAACGAGCAATAGAATTCTGGAGAGAACAGTCGGCAATTACGAAACAATTGAAGAGGATTTTCATTGGCTCAAACTTTTGGGATTGAGAAGGAAGAAAAGAGAAAAAGGGGCACGGCTAGAAAGAGAAATACAATTGAAGAAATTAATTTTGGGGAAGAAATCAAGCTGCTACAAACGAGTTTTTCCATTCTTTTTTCTTTTTCATGTGCTTTCATTTTAATTTACTTGTGTTAATTCTTTCAATTATGCACTAAACTTTAATCCTAGGGTTGATGTAGCCTACTTTAGACATGTTTGAATTTCATTTTAATTATTTCAATTAATCTTTCCGTTTATGTATTTAAGTTGTTTGTGCGCAATGCTTTCAATTAACTGACCACTAATTGATTGATTTGATGTCCTAAATTTTGGCGCTCAAGAGAGGCAAATTTAGGCGTGATCTAAGACAACATAACCTAGATTTCGTAGGTTTCGAGAGAATGTGCGAATTTTTGAGGCTTATTTTAATTAAAAATCACGTGCTTGATAAATTTTATATCTTTAATTCGGAATAGAGATATTGGAATTAAAATATAGAAATAGATTTTATTTGGCGCTTGAGAGAGGGAAATAGAATCACTTTAGCGTTCTTGGCTATAAATTTTGGAAAAATCGATAGAAATAGTTAAACGGTTGAAAAACATTGTCGAGCGTACGGTGAAATCATTCCATAGGCATTCATAATTTGATAAGATATTTTATAATTTATCCTCATTTACTTGCGTCGTTCATCCCATTTATTTTTATTTAGCATAAAACATCGTTTCAACATTTGATTGTCTAAATAAAGTGAGGGCTAAAATAATTATAGTACTCAATTTATTCGAATATCAATCCTTGTGGGTTTGACATCCTAACTTCTTTACTATATTACAAAACTTGACATTGTACACTTGTGGTTTAAAAATCACGTTGCATAAATCGCGTGGCAGGAACACTTCCTTTTCTCATGTTTGCATGAGGACCTCTTCGAGGGTGTGTTCTTTAGTGGGTGATATTCGTGGAATCTATATGGTAGAGCTTAGGGCAGTCTCTATCCTTTCTTCTTTCGGGCATAGGACTTCCATCCATCCTTTTTTCCTTGCTCCGCCCCATGGGTCAAGACTTGGCTCTGGCTTTATCTTGATCCGACATCGGCTCCTCCGCACTTCTGTGTTTTTCAAGTCAGTTAAGGAACTCGTGGTATGTTTGGGGTCGTCTTCATGGAAAGACTACCAGAACCTTGTTCGAGGTCTTAATCTAAAGAGGACTGCCATGAATGCGGCGTCATAAGAGATCTTTTTGACCTTCACAAATTGTTTGTTGAATCTGCCGAAATAACTTTTCAGTGACTCACTTCTCCCTTGTTTGATACTTACCAGTCGTTCCTTGGGCATGGTTCTAGCCTCCAACCCCATGAATTGTGCCAGCAAAACCATGGCTAGATCATTTCAGCTTTTTATGGACCTTTGATTCGATCTTCTAAACCACCTTTTGAACTTGTCTCCCAAAGTTATTGGAAAAGCGCAGCACATTATGGTGTCGCTTGCTTCTTGCAGTTCCATCCATAAAGTGTAATTGTCCAAATGGCTAAGGGGATCTCATTTCCCTCCGCACACAATTAGGTGTGGTATCTTTAATTTCTCGAGCAGGGGTTCGATAAGGATGTCCTCCGTGAAGGGAGAATGGCACTTGGCAAGGTACTCCTCCGCCATTCCTTTTACTTCAAGCTTTCATATCGGCAACGCGTCTTTTCTAAGTGCTTAGTTCAAGCTCTATTTGTTCAAGTGGGCGTTTCAGGTTTGGGTTTGATGGCCACCCTTTGGGGCATTGAAGAGTGCTGAAAGCCTAACCTATCGAACACACTATCAGCCT